CCTTTAAGAAAAAGGAGGAGTAGATGTAAAAGAGAAAGAGACAGGCGCTCCCTTTACAGGCGATGGAAAAGAACAACAGAGCGGCTAAAAGAGGCCAATATATCTTAAATGCGTTGGGAGTCACTGGTCAGAGAAATAGCAAACATTGAACTTAAGCTAAAGGAATCTTATAGGAGTCAGGAATCGCGGGAAGAACTAAAAGCCATAAATGAAATTGAAAGAAACCCAAAGTATTTATTTTCTTATGCCAAATCAAAGTCGAGAACAACATCCAGTATTGGGCCCCTACTTAAACAAGATGGGTCCTACACAGACGACAGCAAGGAAATGAGTGAGCTACTCAAGTCCCAATATGACTCAGCTTTTAGCCAGCTGCTAACCAGACTGAGAGTCGAAGATCAAAATGAATTTTTATGAGAGAGCCACAGAATCTGGTAAACACAAGCCTATCTGATGTTATCCTGACACCAAATGACTTCGAACAGGCGATAAATGACGTGCCCATGCACTCTGCCCCAGGGCCAGACTCATGGAACTCCGTGTTCATCAAGAACTGCAAGAAGCCCCTATCATGAGCTTTTACCATCCTATGCAGAGGGAGCATAAACACGGGGGTCGTCCCACAGTTACTAAAAACAACAGACATAGCCCCACTCCACAAAGGGGACAGTAAAGCAATAGCAAAGAACTACAGACCGATAGCACTAACATCCCATATCATAAAAATCTTTGAAAGGGTCCTAAGAAGCAAGATCGCCACCCATCTAGATACCCATCAATTACACAACCCAGGGCAACATGGGTTTAGAGCAGGTCGCTCCTGTCTGTCCCAACTACTGGATCACTACGACAAGTTCCTAGATGCACCAGAAGACAAAAAGAATGCAGATGTAATATATACAGACTTTGCAAAAGCCTTCGACAAGTGTGACCATGGCGTAATAGCGCACAAAATGCGTGCTAAAGGAATAACAGGAAAAGTTGGTAGATGGATCTATAATTTCCTCACAAACAGAACACAAAGTGTAGTAGTCAACAAAGTAAAGTCTGTGGGGGCTACGGTAAAAAGCTCTGTTCCACAAGGCACAGTACTCACTCCCATCTTGTTTCTCATCCTCATATCCGACATAGACAAGGATGTCAGCCACAGCACCGTGTCTTCCTTTGCAGATGACACCCGAATCTGAATGACAGTGTCTTCCATTGCAGACACTGCAAGGCTCCAGGCAGACATCAACCAAATCTTTCAATGGGCTGCAGAAAACAATATGAAGTTCAATGATGAGAAATTTCAATTACTCCGATATGGTAAACATGAGGAAATTAAAACTTCATCTGTGGAAAATTACATTTATCTGAATGTATCCTTATGTACATAACAGTAAATGAACAGATAATTATTATTTATCAGTTAGACAAGTAGGAATTTGGGACACCTAGGTCGCAAAAAATGTCCCCCTTCGATACCTACCACTGTCATATCCACAAGTTGCTCTGGCCCTATTAATCATAAATGAAATATACATCACCAGGAATGCTGGTAAATATAAAAATTTGTGGACTGTATATTAAAAATAATAAATGATAATAGATACACATATATATTCATTTACACAAAAGGAGAATATATCTTAATCATAACACTCACCAATTTGACTGGAGATTAATGTGTCATGTACAGAACCCACCTCCCCCTTTTGCCTACATTTATGAAGAATTTATCCCTCCTCCCTTCTGCCATCCAATACCCTCGCTTCCTTCCCTACCCTGCAGCGCTGTATAGCCCTTGTGGCTTAACGCTTCTTTTTGATTATAATAATAATAATAATATGAAGAATTTACTGGCCAGAAATTAAACATAATTTAGACAGCTTATCTGAGGTTCCTGAAGTTGTCCTGTCCTGTTGCCTGATTCTCAAATTATGCAGGAATGCACATCCAACAATTTCGTCTCCTATTTGAGAGGTGTCAGCCCAATTTTAACCTCTAGAGCACGAAAAATTCTTCCCATTATTCACAACGTGTTATTCAATTCAAACAAAATGGCGACTGTCCTCTTTTTAAAAATACACTTTTATTAAATACAATATAGGGCATCTATTTACCTATAAATTACCGTATTTCCGGAAAATATACAGTATTTTCCACATCATCAGAGTACAAAACAAATTCCGACCACAAAACAGAGCGAAAAAGCAACGCCAAAGACCTGGGAGTGATCATGTCAGAGGATCTCACCTTCAAGGGCCATAACATTGTATCAATCGCATCTGCTAGAAAAATGACAGGATGGATAATAACCTTCAAAACTAGAGATTCCAAGCCCATGATGACACTCTTCAGGTCGCTTGTTCTATCTAGGCCGGAATATTGCTGCACACTAACAGCATTTTCAAGACAGGTGAAATTGCTGACGTAGAAAATGTACAGAGAACCTTCACGGCATGCATAACGGAGATAAAACACCTCAATTACTGGAAGCGCTTGAAGTTCCTTAACCTGTACTCCCTGGAATGCAGGCAGGAGAGATACATAATTATATACACCTGGAAAATCCTAGAGGGACTAGTACTGAAGTTGCACACGAAAATCACTCACAACGAAAGCAAAAGGCTCGGCAGACGATGCAACATCCCCCCAATGAAAAGCAGGGGTGTCACTAGCACGTTAAGAGACAATAAGTGTCAGGGGCCCGAGACTGTTCAACTGCCTCCCAGCATACATAAGGGGGATTACCAATAGACCCCTGGCTGTCTTCAAGCTGGCACTGGACAAGCACCTAAAGTCGGTACCTGACCAGCCGGGCTGTGGCTCGTACGTTGGATTGCGTGCAGCCAGCAGTAACAGCCTGGTTGATCAGGCTCTGATCCACCATGAGGCCTGGTCACAGACCGGGCCGCGGGGGCGTTGACCCCCGGAACTCTGTCCAGGTAAACTTCAGGTAGTAATGGTTTCAAGTTAATCTTTCAGCTCTTGCATTCTTATTTGTAATTATAGTGTTATATGCAATTATTTAAATGTCAGCACATCATACAGTATACACCAAGCAAGGTGTATACACCCCTCGGTGTATATACATTTAAGATTTATTTTAATTCCTAATTTATGGATGAAAGTGAGTTATTCTATTACTTGTGCAGCCTTGCATAATCTTCCTTTACTTGATAATACAGCAAAATATGGTTTAATCTTATCCAATTTACCTAAGATTAGTCTAAATTTTGTTAACTTTAATTCAGTGAGTTTGTGAGAAAATACAACTATGAATACAGCAAGTGGACACTGCAGGTCCGGAGTAGAAAACGAGAGTTGTAAGTTATTTAAAATGTTGAGTTTGATAGTTCATGTGCTGTGTTGATAAGAAAACTGAAACTAATAGAAAGAGGTCTGTATGTTTTGGCCTCGACCAGAGACCCTCTTCGGCACATTCACTGAAGAGGGGTCTCTGACCGAGGTTGAAATATACAGATCTCGTTTTGCCTATGTTTCAGTGTTGTGGTCTCTTACTTTTCATGGATGATCATATTGTTAAGACTCACGTCATGTAAATTTCCATGACAAATACTATAACACCAGTACAAGTACTTGTTAATGTTTGCTAACAGAAGCCGAAGAGTGTGATGTGTCCTGTGATCGACGTGATCGACCAGGATACCCTCGACTACCGTGCTGCTGGAACTGTACTCAAAGGAGGTCAGTATCAGTTCCTTGTATCAAGAGCCCTTTAGGTGAGTGATATTACATATTTATGCCCAGGCCACTGCAATGGAGTCCACAATGGGAATCACAATAATGGACCTGTATGCAGGTGGTAATAAGAGTCCTTCTACAATTATGTTTTATCGACAAGGTTGAATATTGGTTCTT